CTGCCCTCCTGCGCCTCCTCTGTCCCACACTCAGTGTCCTCCTCCACGTCCTCTCCCTGTGCCCCTCCCCCCCACACTCCCTGGTCTCCAGCATCTCCTTTCTCTTTCCCCCACCCTGCACCCAGTGGTCCTGCACCTCCTCTCTTTCTGGTCCCCCCCTCACCCACCTGCCTCCTGCCCCTCCTCTCTGTGCTTGCCCGCACCCAGTGTCCTGCACCTCCTCTCTCTGCCCCCCACCCCTCCCCACTGGCTTTTTGCATCTCCTCTCTGTGCGCACACACACACACCCTGCACCCACTGGCTTCCTGAGCCTCCTCTCTGTGTGTCCTCCTGACCTTCCTCTCTCTGCCTGCCCACTGCCCCACCAGCCTCCTGAGCCTCCTCTCTGTGCTCCCCTCCCCTGAACCCACTGGCCTCCTGTGCCTCCTCTCTGTACCCCGCCCCCTCCCTCCACACACACTGGCCTCCTGCACCTCCTCTCTGTACCCCCCCGCATCCAGTGTCCTGCACCTTCTCTCTCTGCCCTCCCCCACACACACACACCTAATGCCATTTCATTTCTGTGTCCCACCACCCCACACCCAGTGGCCTCCTGCACCTCATCTCTGTGTTCCACCCCAAGCACCTAATAGCCTCCTGTCCTATACTTTGTGGCTGTGTCTACACTGGCAAGTTATTCCGGAAAATCAGCTGCTTTTCCGGAAAAACTTGCCAGCTGTCTACACTGGCCGCTTGAATTTCTGGAAAAGCACTGACAATCTAATGTAAAATCATCAGTGCTTTTCCGGAAAAACTATGCTGCTCCCTTTCGGGCAAAAGTCTTTTTCCGGAAAACTGTTCCGGAAAAGGGCCAGTGTAAACGGCACAGTAGTGTTTTCCGCAAAAAAGCCCCGATTGCGAAAATGATGATCGGGGCTTTTTTGCGGAAAAGCGCGTCTAGATTGGCAGGACGCTTTTCCGGAAAAGCGTCCTGCCAATCTAGACGCGCTTTTCCGAAAATGCTTTTAACGGAAAAGTTTTCAGTTAAAAGCCTTTCCGGAAAATCATGCCAGTGTAGATGTAGCCTGTGTGTCTGTATCCCATAGCCCCCCTCATTCAGTGGCATCCTGTCCCATACCCTGCACACTCATGGGCCTCCTGTACATTGTGATATCCTTCACCCAGTGGCATCCTGTCCTATACCTCGTGTCTGTGTCCCACTCCCCCTCACCTGATGGCTTCTTGCACCTCATGTCTATAATCCACACACCCCTAACTTAAAGACTTCATGCATTTTGTGTCTGTAACCCAGACCCCCACCCCAATGCAGCTAATGGAGCAGCCCATATGTGGCCCCATATACCTGATGTCCATGTGTCCCATATATAAGCCCCATATACACATCCAGTAGCCTCCTGCACCTTGGGTCTGTGTTCCATACACAACTAGTGGCTCCATGCATTTCTAATGCCCTTAGGCACAGCATCTTCAGTCCTCCCCCATCCCTGCCTACAGCTGACCTTTGTGTTTTCCATTACAAAAATGAAACTTTTAGCCCACTTTTAACTTTGATGCCCCTAGGTACATGCCTGATGTGCCTAATTAGAAATCCAGCTCTATTCTTACCTGATGTGCCTAATTAGAAATCCAGCTCTATTCTTACCTAATGTGCCATATATACTTCCCTGCATCCTTGTGGCCATGCTTAAACTCGTCATGCTCATTTTTCCTAGAGTACGTTGTGTATAACAGGTGTGCTCATGTCTATTTCCATGTCTTTTGTGCCTGGCATAGTTTTCAGAGGCCACAATAGTGGTTGTCAGTCTTCAGACCAAGGGCCACATCAGGCCACCGACAAGACATTTTGTTTTACATTGTTCGTGCAGGGGGTTGCTAGATTCTGCTGGTTGTCATGCATGTCCCTGTTTTTGTACCAGTATTGCTAAAGTGCCATGCATATAAAGCAAGGACATGGGAAGTGAGACGTGTGTTGATTGCACACATCAACAGTGTAAAAGCCACATGCTCCCTTTGCATCCAATTAAATGACTACTACTATTCACTTGGCACACCCTTCCAGTTCTAAGTATGCAAGTGCAGTTAGCAAAACTACCCTGTCCTGGGAGACCGTCTTGGTTACAACACTCTCGCGGCCCATTGAGATAAAGGAGGGCCACTCGTGTCCCACTCACTAACCTAGATTGCCCACAAGCTCTCTGTACCACTTGTCTTTAACTAGGAAATATAGCAGTTTTTGAATACCAGCAGACTAGACCAAGGAGATTATTTGCCTTGTGTGTCCTGAGATTAGGTGCTCGTAGTGCCAATGTAAAACTCTGATTTTATCTACAGAATCACTGCTAGCAACTGTAAGTGGTTTGTCAGATTAAAAGTGCATCTCTAAGAAATGCTTGGCCACCCAGTTTTTATTCTAGTTTGAATTTTCAGTGAGCACCAAGCATTTGTTAAGCATTGGCCTGGGCTGTGTTAGAGCAGCTGCCATTGATTAAGATGGTTTTTATCTTAAAAGTGAAAAATGATACATATCAGAAAAGGTTCAGAAAAGGGAAACAAAAATTATTAGGGATTTGGAATCAGTCCTATATGAAGAGAAATTAAAAAGACTTGGACTTTTCATCTTAGAAAAGAAGAGATTAAGGGGGGATATGATAGAGGTCTATAAAATCATAATGGGTGTGAAAAGAGTGAATACAGAAAAGTTATTTACTTATTCCCACAATAAGAACTAAGGGTCACCAAATGAAATTAATAGGTAGCAGGTTTAAAACAAACAAAAGGAAGATTTTCTTCACTCAGCGCATAGTCAACCTGTTGAACTCCTTGCCAGAGAATGTAGTGAAGGCTAGGACTTTTAACAGGGTTCAAAAAATAGCTAGATAGATTCATGGAGGTTAGGTCCATCAATGGCTATTAACCTGGATGAGTAGAAATGGTATCCTTAGCCTGTGTTTGTCTGGAGGTGGGTGACAGGGAAGGGATCACGTGAGGATTATCTGGTGTGTCCCCTCCCTCTGGGGCAGCTGGTATTGGCCACTGTTGGAAGACAGGGTTCTGGGCTGGATGGACCGTTGCTCTGACCCAGTATGGCCATTCTTATGTATGAGGATATGTAATTGAAGGGGAAGTGTGATCTAATCTGGTATCATTTGAAATATTGTAGTTGTGGCTCCCCAAAAAAGCGCCTCTGCGTTGCCTTGAGCAGAGTATTTCACTGCTGGTGGAATTTTCAGGGCACTAGGGGAAATTCTTTTCTGTAAGAATTGCCATAGGTTACATGTTGGAGCTAAGGATGTTAAGTATCGAGTAATTTTCTAGTCGAGTAGTCAATGGAATTTCCATCAACTACTCGACTAGTCTAATTCCTCCTTTGAACTGCACAACTCTGCGTGCAGCCCAGGGCCGGCAGGAAGTCCCGCTGATTCCGGGCTGTACAGAGGCTTGTGTCTGAAATGCACAAGAGTCCCCAGCGGGGGCTCTTGTGCATTTCAAAGCGGAAGCACCCGCATGGAGCCCGGGATCAACAGGGGACTCAGAGGGGATTCCCCAGCTGAACCCAGGCTCCATGCGGCAGGGGTTTGAAATGCCGCCTCGGTGTTTCAAAACAGCACCGTCTCTTTGAAACGCTGTGGCAGTGTTTCAAAGGGACAGCACCGCACAGAACCCGAGGTCAGCTGTGCGGCACTGCCACTTTGAATCACCGAGGTGGTGTTTCAAAGGGGCAGTGCCACACAGCTGAGCCAGGGATCAACTGTGCAGCATTGCCCCTTTGAAATGCCACTTCTGTGTTTCAGAGGGGTAGTGCTGCACATAGCTGGCCCTGGGCTCCATGCGGCACTGCCCCTTAAAGAGGCAGTGCTCCAAGGAGCCTTGGGTCAGCTCTTTGCAGCGCTGCTTTGAAAGGTGTTTCAAAGCGGCAGCACCGCACAAAGCTCGGTATGGACTTTGTGCAGTGCTGCCGCTTTGAAGTACCCCCTTCCCTGACCTTCTTTGCTGCCTCTATCTGATAGAGGCAGCAGGGGGAAGGGGGATCGACTAGTCGATGCAACTATCTGATAAGCATTTGCTTATCAGATAGTCGACTAGTCCTTAATATCCTAGTTGGAGCTAGAACTTCAGTAGATGTGGCTAATGATTATGTATATCTTCCGTGCTTTTATTCTTCAGTCTTCAATTATATAACTTTCCATCCTGGATTCTCTTGTGAGAACTGCTTTATAAAACCTAACTCTCTATTTTGGTTGTCAACTAATAGGGGAAAACAGGAAGTCAAAGTTGCTTTCTACTCTCAGATACTGGGTGTGGGCACATTTATCTGAGTTCAGAAATCAGCACTTGGTCATTACTTTACCCATTGAGTTTCTCTTCATTAGAGAAAGAATTTTAGAATCTACATACTTGGTGGTATGATGTAAGTGGATTTGGCCCTGATTTGCAGCAGTTCTGTAAATTCGCTTGCTGGAAGTAGTTAACTGAGTAACCTGACAATGTCTCAGTCAGGAAAAATATGATTGAGAGCAGAAAGAGAGTCCCCAAACAGTACATTTTAACTGACCTAGCTGCCGGATCAATATGGTCTAAATGGCAACCTAGCTCTGTACGTGTAAGCTGAACACAATGCACATATAAGAATTACATTTAATGCAACCCACTGTGTACACAAACTGATTAGATTAGTGATTGATTCTTTATGAGTAATGGCTGTCTACTTGTGTTCAGTTTGGCTGTGTTATCAGTTGGTAACTACTGTTTGTTAATTAAAATTAGCATTATATAAAAAGATTTTATAGACAAATGCAAAGTCATTAATAAAAGGTACAGAGGTTTGGTAACAGTTATGGAATCTTTTTAAAATACAGTTTATAGTTGTATTCCTTTAAGTATTAGGTAACAGATGCATATGTTCTGCAATTAAAGCTACATTTAGAAATAATCAGAAGTTGTCTTTGGCATCAATAAGTCACTTGTAACATACTTAGTTGATTTACCTATGTAGGCCTTGATGCTACACCGTTCTTAGGCCCACAGACTGAAATCAGTGATAGTTTTGACAGGAGCATGTGCCGTTCTCCTAATGTGTACTGTTTCCTAATGCAATAAAAATGTTTGGGGATTGGACAGAAGCATTAAGGACACACTAATGGCCTACCCTTCAGAAGATGAAAGGTCATGTAAAAACAAAGGCCAGTTAAATTTGATGGGTGAGGAGAAAAGACAATAAAAAATGCAGGGAAGAAGTAGAGTGACAGGTGAAATGCTAATTTGTAATCCTAAATATGTTTTAGTTAATATCTAAACTATGTCCCTTTCATTTAGTTTTCCTTTCAGGACAATGGTTGGGGAGTATTGCTTGCTCAGAAACTAGTCAGGTGAGACATGTCCAAGTTTGTGTTTTAAATGAAATGTTTAGGATGAAAGAAGGCCAACCAGCTTTCCTGCAATAAATGATTTTCCAATTTTTTTAGAAAAAAAAATCAGTATTTATTTTTTAAAAGGATAATAGGGAATGTCTCAATACTTTCTCCTCAATATGTATTATTTCTTATTAAAGGCTACTACAGAGGTTGAGTAATTATTGCCCTGATTCTGTATTCACACAGATCTTTGTGCCCATGAAAATCAGATTGCAGGATTAGAACCTATATATTTAGACTTAAGCATCACACACATACTTTATACATACACTACACATATTGAATTATCCTACTCTCCACTATGTAATCTAGTTGCTTTTAGAGGGATAGAGAGCTTTAAGGCAGGTATCCAGATTTAATATTTTTAAATTTCTAAAGTTTTGATCTTTGACAGGGATTTTTTCTTCATGTTATTTGTGTTCATTTCAGAAAATGTGATGTTTTAAATCGTGGACTGTCAGGCTACAATACCAGATGGGCTAACATAATTCTTCCCAGATTGATCAGCAAAAGTTCTGATGCTGAAAATACTATTGCAGTTACTATCTTCTTTGGTGCTAATGACAGTGCTTTAAAAGGTAAGTTAATTTTCATTTTTTCCTCTCTCGATTGTTGTCTTAAAACAAGTTTTAAAAAATATAATATGTTGGATAGCGATTACCAGAGTGGGACATAAGGGAGTTAATATTTTCTTCTGGTGCTGCTCTGTCAGTTCTTGTTTAACAGTGCACTCTTGATTAAAAAAAAAAGTTCACTGAAGTAGTCTACCATTAATCATCTAAATTTCATGTGTACTTTTATTTTTGTTGCTCTTTCTTTGGATAAATATACTACAAATTTGAGAGAGTCTCTTTGTTGAAGACCTCCTCTTAAATAATAAGAGCTAGGATCACCAGATTCATTATACACCTTTTTCGCATTACTTAAAGCAAAGTAAGTGTTTGGTTATGCCAGGAAAATGGGATGTGCTTAGAATGGGATTGCTTTTCATACAACCATACAGAAAAGAAACAGAATCACCAGGCAGATGAAAGGGGATGGTTGGGGGGTGCCCTCCTCCCAAGCCTCCCACCTCCCAGGTGCCCTTTGTGGGGAGGAGGCTGAAGCTCCCACACACACACATACACCCTCCCCCAGATTCATACAGGAACATGGCTATTTCCCCTCAGTCCCTGACAAAGGGGAAGTGCACAGTTTTCTGCATTCCTCACTCCGGCTGGGGAGTGCAGGGGGCAGATGAATCTGGACCTGCCTCAGCCAGGGGACCTGCATCCCTCCCCTGCCTGTGTCCACTGGAAATGCAGCAGCCACGGAGAGGCACTTCTTACCTACCCACAGGCTTTTGCAGTGAAAGAGAGCTGACATAGTCCTCTCCGCCCAGGGCAGTTTTCATACTGAACCTCTCACCCCCAGCTCCATCCCAGAGCAATGTTTAAATGGAACATGCATGTTTTCATTTTACTTTCCCAAAAGCAAAAGTGAATTGAGGTAAGGAACATGTGAGTCTATGGAAGATATTTTCAAAAAGGCACAAATGACTGTTAAGCATGTAACAACTCTCTTGGACTTTCATCTGGAGTTGGGTGCCTTACTGCCATTTATTCTTTCAAAAATAGCTTAGTAATATCTGACTGATAGAAAATGTAGTCACAGTGTGAGAAAAGGAACAGCAGAATGCCTTCCAGGCTCTGTTAAAGAAATGTGTACTAAGAAATATTCTGATGATAATTATAAAGTCAACAGTGGGACTAGTTCTCTGTAGGATCCACAGACTTTTAGCAACAATAAATTACTGTGGGCTATTATATTCTGTCTGCACATAACATTCTTATATTTTCACCCTTATTTTAGTGTGTATGTATGTGTGTATTTATATATTTTTATGTATTTATGTACAGGCAGTCCCCGGGTTACGTACAAGATAGGGACTGTAGGTTTGTTCTTAAGTTGAATCTGTATGTAAGTCGGAACTGGCGTCAGCCGCTGCTGAAACTGATCAGTTTCAAATGCGGCTGAATCAGGACGCCAGTTCTGACTTACATACAGATTCAACTTAAGAACAAACCTACAGTCCCTATCTTGTACGTAACCCGGGGACTGCCTGTACATAAATACATAAAAATATATAAATACACACATACATACACACTAAAATAAGGGTGAAAATATAAGAATGTTATGTGCAGACAGAATATAATAGCCCACAGTAATTTATTGTTGCTAAAAGTCTGTGGATCCTACAGAGAACTAGTCCCACTGTTGACTTTATAATTATCATCAGAATATTTCTTAGTACACATTTCTTTAACAGAGCCTGGAAGGCATTCTGCTGTTCCTTTTCTCACACTGTGACTACATTTTCTATCAGTCAGATATTACTAAGCTATTTTTGAAAGAATAAATGGCAGTAAGGCACCCAACTCCAGATGAAAGTCCAAGAGAGTTGTTACATGCTTAACAGTCATTTGTGCCTTTTTGAAAATATCTTCCATAGACTCACATGTTCCTTACCTCAATTCACTTTTGCTTTTGGGAAAGTAAAATGAAAACATGCATGTTCCATTTAAACATTGCTCTGGGATGGAGCTGGGGGTGAGAGGTTCAGTATGAAAACTGCCCTGGGCGGAGAGGACTATGTCAGCTCTCTTTCACTGCAAAAGCCTGTGGGTAGGTAAGAAGTGCCTCTCCGTGGCTGCTGCATTTCCAGTGGACACAGGCAGGGGAGGGATGCAGGTCCCCTGGCTGAGGCAGGTCCAGATTCATCTGCCCCCTGCACTCCCCAGCCGGAGTGAGGAATGCAGAAAACTGTGCACTTCCCCTTTGTCAGGGACTGAGGGGAAATAGCCATGTTCCTGTATGAATCTGGGGGAGGGTGTATGTGTGTGTGTGGGAGCTTCAGCCTCCTCCCCACAAAGGGCACCTGGGAGGTGGGAGGCTTGGAGTTGGGGCCGTTCGTAACTGCGGATCCAACATAAGTCGGATCCGCGTAACTCGGGGACTGCCTGTATTTATTTATTTTGGTACCTTATTGTTGACGCATATAAAGAGTGGTTAACATCACGCCTAAACTTCTCAACATAACTTCACTACTTGTACTGAATGGAAGTATGCATATGATTTGAAATTTGTTTAAAATGTTTTTGTTCATATTTGTGATATATTTTTCTATAAATATTGAAAAATCCATTTTTTCAGGGCTTGTCTATATTGAGCAGAAGTACACACTGTGGGTTTGTGATTTCTAAACCACATTAATGTGTCATTCTCTGTTTGGTCTCAATGGGTTAGACACTGAACTCAAGAGACTTGGACTCAGTTCCCAGCTCAGCCATAGACTTCATTGGACACATCACTTACTATAGCTAGGGCCTTACCCAATTCAGTCCATTCAATCCATACATTTCATGATTTCAGCTATTTCAGTCTGAAATGTCACTATTTTGTAATTGTAGAGGGTCTTAAGCAGGGATGGGCAAGAGGCTGCCAGTAGGCCGGATCCACCTACCAAGCCACCAGATCCGGCCTGCAGCCACCTCGCCAAAACCCTTAGGCAGAGAACAGGTCATGCTTTAAAAAGCAGCTGCTCTCCTCTCTGGACAGTTGGGGAGGGAGGAAGGAGACTTTTCATGCTGTTCTTACTCCCCAGCAAAATATCTCAGCTCCTACTGGCCAATCTCTCAGTTTCTGAGCAATAGCAGCTGAGAATTTTTGCTGGGAGCAGGGGCAGTGTGGAAAACCTTCTCCCTTCTTTCCCGTCCCCCCCTTATGCCCAGAGCAGAGCCATGTGGAGCGATCATGAGAGAGTCTGCCTCAGGTTTCTGCAGATAAGCATCTCCCAGCCAGAGCCTGCCTCTGGCACCCCACCACCTCTCTCCCCTTTGACTACCTGCCCCAAACCACCACCCAAACCCTCTGTGTTCCTTTTCCCCCTTCTTCAGGTCACAACTCCATCCCAGACCTTGTACCCCCTCCTAAAGCCCCTCCCTTGGGCCAAAATCCTCTCCTGCACCCATACTGCCTGCCCCAGATCACAGCCATCTCCTTCACCCAAACTCCCCCTCAGACCTCTCACCCCCTCCTGCATCCCAATCCCCTATCTCAAGTTCCCTTCTGCACCCAACCTCTGTCCCAGACTGCCCACCCCCTCCACAGAAGTGTGGCCCTGGACTACTTGCCAATATCTTGGAGTGGCCCCTCATTAAAATTATTGCCCACCACTGGTCTTGACCCAAAAAGGAGTTGGGAGAGGGTGTCGCAAAGTTATTGTAGGGGACGTTGCAATACTGCTCCCCTTACTTCTGTGCGGCTGTTGGCAGTGGTGCTACCTTCAACACTGGGCAGCTGGCTGGAGCCCAGCTCTGGAGACATTACCACTGCCAGTAGTAATTAAGTAAGGATGACATGATATGGTATGGCCATGGTTACTTCTGTACTGCTGCCTGCAGAGTTGGGTCTTTATACAGCAGCCACCATTCTCTAGCCATCCAGCTCTGAAGGAAGCAGCACAGAAGTAAGGGTGGCATAGTATGATATTGTCATCCTTACTTCTGCACTGCTGCTGGCAGGGCACTAGCTCAGAGCTGGGCCAATCTCCAGCCACCCAACTCTGAAGGAAGCGTAGAAGTAACGCTGGCGAGATCCTGACCCACTAAAATAACCTTGAAAAAGCGACGAGGAGTCCTGTGGCACCTTATAGACTAACTGAAGTGTAGGAGCATAAGCTTTCGTGGGCAAAGACCCACTTCGTCAGATGCATGTCTGATAAAATAACCTTGTGACCCCTGAGCAGCTCCCTTTTAGGTCTGGGTCCCCAATTTGAGAAATGCTAGCCTCCCCTATGAAATCTGAATAGTGGAGGGTAAAACCACATAAAAGGCCAGATTCATGGTCTGTAATAAGTTTTGTTTTTATGGCTGTGCATTTGGTAGGGCTCTAACTGTGCCTATGCTTCCCAGCTGCAATTCAGTTATCAGCCTGCCCTGCCTCTCAGGCATGTTGTGAGGATAAATGCACTAATGAAGCACTCCAACACTATGTACTTAGAATGGCAAGGCAAGAGGAAGTTCGTGCCTTTACTCTGTGTCCTTTCCTGGATGTTAGGGAAGGAGCAGCTTTCACAATGACTTTGATGACTTATTTTATTTTCCATGAGAGACAAAGGAAAGTCTATTGCAGAGGTCGCCAACTGATCGATTGTGATCGACCAATTGACCCTGGGGACTTTCCGGTAGTACAGCAGGGCTGCAGCTAAGGCAAGCTTGCTCCCTGCCAGCCTCTGCCCCACACTGCACCCAGAAGCAGGCAGTACAGCCTTGCAGCCCCATGGGGGCAGAGGGGTCAGAGGTTTCTGGCTAGTGTGCTGCTTCTTCCAGCAGGCACCATCCCTGTAGCGCCCGTTGGCTGGGAACAGGGAACTGTGGTCACTGGAAGCTGCAGGGAGGTGGTGGTGCCAGCATAGAGGGGCAGCATGCACAGCCATATGCTCCGCTGCCGGGACAGAGGGACATATTGGCCCCTTCCAGGAGTGATTTGAGGCCAGAGCAAGCAGAGTACAATTAGGATTTCAATTCTTACACTTATCCAATGCCATAATTAAAATAGTCTTTCTGCCCCCCCCCCCCCCCCCCCCTAACCCCAACACTTTGCCCCAGCCTGGATTCCTGCACCAAGCTCTCTCCCAGAGTTTGCAGCCGTCATCTTTTCATGCACCTGAAACCACTGCCCCAGGCTCAGACTTCTCCCACACTGCAAACCCCTCAGCCCACATCCCCTTCCAGCCTCCTGACCCAGCCTGGTGACAGTGAGTGAGGATGGAGTAGAGCAAGCAACAGAATGAGGTGGGGATGGTGCAAGTGGGGCAAGGATTCAGAGAAGGGGCAGGATAGATCCTGGATTGCACCTAAATTCAAAAAGTGATCTTAGACATGAAACATTAGAGATCACTGCTCTAAGCAGTACTATGTTAAAACATACTAGGGAACCTTTTAAAAAAAATGGAGAGTCCTGTGGCAAAGGACTTCTTGTTGATTTTGCAGATACAGACTAACACGACTACCTCTCTGAAACCAGGGCACTTTTAGTGCACACCAATAGAGTTTACAGGGAGAAATTGGTATGTCACACATTTGTCTACCTTACACATCCCACCTAGTTGTGTTCATTGCTGCTCCATGTAGTTAAACCTTAAGCCTAGAAGATAAATATGAGTCTTAGAAAATCTAATGATTACAATTAGGAAATTGTACAAAAAAGTAGGGATGTTACATATTGTGTTATTGAATGGTTGTGTAACCACATGAAATATGATTGGTTACACAACTATTCTATAGTCCCCAGGGGCAGGACTGGTAGCCAGTGCACTCCTGGCTCCATTCCCGGGGAGCCCCCTGCTACCCTCAGCTGCTGCTTCTGTATGAGAAGCAGCAGTGCGGGGTGGCAGGCAGGAACTGGTCCACCCAGGGAACCAGTTTAAAGACCAGCTCCACGTGTAGACGGGCTCTCTGCCACACTGCACTGCTGCCTCTGATACAGAGGCAGAAGCATGGGGAGACAGCAGCTCCTATCCAGGGGGTGCCCGAACTCCCCGCAGACAGGGGGCTGTCTGTGTAGCAGCCCTTGTCCGTGGGCAGGTCCAAGCTCCCTGTGGACAGAGGCTGGCCCACAGCAGCAACCTCTGTCCATGTGGAGCTCAGACCCCCTGCAGACAGGGGCTGCTGCAGTTCAGCCTCGGTCTGCAGTGAGCCTGAGCCTCTGTTGCCTCCCCGCGCTGCTGCCTCTAGTAGAGACGTGGGGAGAGAGCAGGTAGCACTGCAGAGCTGGTGCTGGGGGGAACCAACTTTTAAGGCAGCTCATCTCCAACACCAACTCCTGCCGGCCCCTCCCTCGTTTCCTCTGTAGGAGGCAGAATGGGGAGGAGGGTGGGGGCAAATGTATCCATGGAGCCAACAAGCAAGCTCCCTGCACATATAGGCTCCAGTCTGCCCCCTTCACCCTCCATGCTGCTGCCTTTCTATCAGAGGCAGCAACACAGGGGTGGGCAGGCAGATCCAGAGCTTGTGGGAAGCTTGCTTAAAGCCAGCTCCTCCTTCCCCTGCTGCCTCTCATACAGAGCCAGCAAGGAGGGGTGGGAGAGAATATGTAGTCAACAAGATTAACTGATTAGCCCAGCTTATTGGTTAATCGTATAGCTGACTACATGTTAACAGCCCTAAAAAAAGCAGTTAATCTGTTAAAACCACCTTTTCATCAATTGTTTTAAATGTCTAGGAAATTATTTACTTGCATTTTTTCCTAGCTGGCTCCTATACCTTGGATTTTGCAGTGTATCGTTGTCCCACCACATCTCATGAGTTCATGATTCATGTAGAACTTTATATTGAGAATAAGAAAAGTATGCACAATCATATGCTGTGTGCACAAGGTACTGTATATAATTTACAATAGGCATCTTAGTTTTATGTGAAAATAAATTGTTTCTTCCTTAAACAGATGTGAATCCCAACCAACACATTCCATTGAAGGAATATGCTGATAATTTAAAAAGCATGGTTCGATATCTGAAGTCCTTAGGTATTACTGAAGACAAAATTATTTTGATAACACCACCCCCTGTCTATGAGCCAGCATGGGAAAAAGAGTGTATTGCCAAAGGTAAAAGGAATAATACCAGTTTTGCAATTAAAAAGAAATAGTGGGTGTCCAAGTTGCTGACGTCAAGATTGACAAAGGATTCAGTCTGTATTTGTGCCAAACTTCATATTATTCTGTGTGCCAGTGGAAAGAGGCTGCTGATCATCTCTGGAATAGCCATTTGGACCAGCTGATAGATAATTAATAACATCATTTTAAAACTGCCACTTTCATAGGCCTATTCATTAATGTAACATAGAAAAAGCTGCACTTTTATATCAATAAAAATGACTTTTTAAAGTCTTGATAATATTTAAGCTCTGGGCTCCTGTATTAGATTATAGATCTTGTAGTCTGACTATGGTGTGCTTTTACATCTTTTGTGAAGAGGATAGCAATGTGGCATTGATGCACCTTGGATTTTTTTTTTGCTGTTACAGTATATTCCTCATTTATCGGAGTAAGCAACAATATTTATTTCTGAAAAGTACAGTTCTGAGACTACCAAGAAAACGAGTCTTTGTCTAAGGAGAAAAAACCTTTGTCTTATCAATTTCTTCCTGTACTGTTCAAGTAACTCTTATAACAGAGACATATCACTACTTAGTTCCTTGTGGTAAGAAAGATCTAGTTATCAAAGACTGATCCTCAATTGGTGTTAACTGTCATAGCTTTGCTGACTTCATCTGGATCAAACAGATATAGCTGAAAGATTGCCCCCAGGTGCTTATGTATGTTTGGACAGCCTGTGCAGTGCCATGGTTTTTGCACTTTAGAAAAAAAAAAAACTAGCTGAATTTGCCTTTGATAACTAGCTCTTCTTACCATAGTATTTCTACTGTTCCCTTGACTTTGTATAGTGCATACCTAGGGGATATTGCAAGCACTGAAGTGCAGTTGTGTTAGCTAAGACTAAATTGGATGTTTTGAAGATAAGTGTATTTAACTGGTTACCCGCTAACACCCCTAGTTAGAAAGTGTCTTGACTACAGTCTAACTATTTACAGGTGAAAAGATACATCATCAAATCACTAGAAGTTGTTGTTGGACAAATTAAGACAGCAAATAAGGTGTAAATTTTTAACCATGAGTAACTAACCTTTGGAAGAATTTACCAAGGGTCAGTGTGGCTTTCCTATTACTAATATTAAATCAAGCTTGGATGTTTTTCTAAAAGATCTAGGAATTATTTTGGGGGAGTTCTGGCCTGTGTTGTATAGGTCAGACTAGATGATCACAGTGGTCCCTTTTGTCTGTGTATAAAAGTCAGATTGATCATAGGATTTCTGCCAGAGATGTTCTGTAGCACTAGAGGGCATAAGGAGAAGGCTGACAGCAGATGAATTCATGATGGCTGATTGAAAAAAGTGTCATGTAAAGGCTTAGTGACAAGGTGTGAGTCAGTCCCATTTTCTAAAAATGCTTTTCAGTTTAATGAGAGAAGGTGGGGGAGGTTATACATTTTATTGAACTAACTTCTGTTGGTGGAAGGAACAAGCTTTTGAGCTACACAGAGCTCTTCAGAGCTGGAGAAGAAAGGAGAGCATCTAAGCTAAATGCACGTTGGCACAGACTTAAGCAGAAGGGGTAACATCTTGGAGGCAGTCATTTGAAATGAAGTGGGCAATTAGGGGTTAGATTGTTATAGGAAAGTTTCACTGCATTGCAACAGAGGATATGAACTGTTGGTTAGTTGGTGCTCATAGCACATGGAATGTCAATTTCTTTACAATTGAGTATTGCATTTGACCTGGCATAACTGATTTATAATAAATTTGCACCTTATATATACTCTTATCCCAGAATATCAAAACATTTTGTTTAGATAAGTAATTAGTAAAATTATTTTACAAATGAGAAGCTAAGGCAAAAAAGTCCTGTGTCACCCAGAACATGCAAGACAGGCTTGTTACTAGACCTCAGATCTCTTACTCTGATGTTGGGAGTATCGGAGCATTCACAGTTGTAAATAAATTATGCTGATTTGATGCACTTTGGTGTTGGAGTAAAAGCACAGGCTAAAGATAAGCCTAACACAAAGCAGGTGGTAAGATATGTTTGTACACAACTGTGCCAGTGCCTTTTAATTCTCATCAACAACTCTGTTTTCTAAACCAAAGTTTGTTTTCAAATTAATATCTCAAAAACCTGCAGGCTACAACAGAAGGCTTATAGAGGGTTGGATTTAGCTCCCATTTACTTTAAAATTTACAAGGTTCAAATGTTAGTTTGAAATGGTTCACCATTCAATAAAAATCATGTGCAATAGGTAGTGACACAGTCTGACTATTCATGTATTCTGGTTCAGTTAATTTTTTTTTTAAACTTCTAACAGGTGACAAATTAAACCGATTCAATTCTGCCACAGGAGAATATGCCAAAACATGTGTTCAAGCCGCAAGAGACTGTGGGACTGAGGTACTTGATCTGTGGACTCTTATGCAAAAGAATAATCAGGTATGGCATTCAGAAAAGACATTTGTGAAAATGCTGAAGTGTCTTAATTGATTTAAAAGGTTGTAGAACAGTTCTTAAACTAAGAGCTAGCAAAAGCTGACAGGTGCAGAAGAGCACATTTCGGACAGATATCGCTTAGGGGAGAATCTATTCATGGAGATTCTCTATGGCCTAGTAAGAGGATGGAAAATGATAAAATAAAAGCAAGAGCTGATCAGAAGTAATCAAATGAAAAGAGAGTCCCTTTTAGTTATGACATGTAATGGCAGCTCGCTAAAAAGTGTTTATATACAAATGCTAGAAGTCTAATAATATGGATGAACTAGAGTGCCTCATTAAATGAGGATAATCAATGGGACACAGTAATAGCACGGTATGAAATCTATCTATATATATATAAAAAGAGAGAGAGAGTGAGAGCGCGCACAGATCATGCTGGTGGGAGAGTGGCAGTATATGTGAAAGAAAGCAGACTCAGGGAATGAGTACAGTGGATCATTTAATGATTACCTGTTCTGTTCATTCCCTCTGGAACATCTGACATTGGTCTGAACCAGTATGGTGCTTCTTATGCCTTGTGTCAAGCAATATTTCAGAGCTTTGGGAGGAACTTAATTGCCAATCATGTATTATAGTTTACACTATTTGGGAGGAAACATGAATCCAGAATATTTCATATTGGGCTAGGAAAACATGTAAGGCTGTTGTTCAAATACAGCTGGGTACTGTATTTATCTAATTGTAGAATTGGAAGAAAACTAGCAAGGTCATCAAATCCAATCCTCTACACTCTTGACCATTCCTAACAGATACTCATCTAACTTGCTCTTAAAAATCTCTAATTATGGAGATCCCACAATCTCCCTAGGCAATTTATTCCAGTGCTTAACCATCTAGACTGTTAAGTTTTTCCTAATGTCCATCCTAAACCTCCCTTGTGGTAATTTAAGTCAATTGCTTCTTGTCCTATCAGGAGTTAGAGAACAATTTTTTCTCCCTCCTCCATGTAACAACTCTCAGGTACTTGAAAGCTGTTACTATGTCCCCTTTGAATATTCTCTTTTCCAGACTAAATAAACCTAATTATAGTATTTCAATCTACCTTCATCAGTCATGTTTTCTAGACCTTTAATCATTTTTGTTGCTCTTCTCCACTTTGTCCACCTCTTTCCTGAAATGTAGGGTTCAGAACAGGACATAATAGATGGCTGTTTTAAATATAAATTGGTATCTCACCTCACTGGAACGTCCATTGTTAAGTCAGATAGTTGTTGCACCCCATACTGTACTTTGCAAAAATATTTGCATGAGTAGCCTTCCTGAAGTGCAACTGCTGACCATCACCAGTAGCTCTATTTAGGGCAGATTTATACCTAGCAGCTTTTGTTCTGACACTTATAGGCAGATTTTCAAGAGCTCAGCTTTCTATTTCCTGAGCTTTTTTGAACCTGTACTTTAATCACATTTGAACTCTTTTGAAAAACTTGGCCACAGCAGGTAATTTGAGTTACGGTAAAGTGGGTCTTTCTAGACAAAGAGTAGATAAAAATATTTTCAGAACCCTAATTCAGTTGATAGTTTTCTTATGGGTATCAGTGGCATAAGGAATGCAGTACATTTTACCTGTCTTTCTATTTTATAATCTTTCAAGTTTAGAACAGAGATTGATTATATTTGGTGTCTAGAGCTTATCATGCAGCATGATGAAGATAGCCTTTATTTGTTTTTTGAATTAACACCCCTTTCCTCCCCCATAGGACTTCTCTTCCTATCTATCAGATGGACTTCATTTATCAGTAGTAGGAAATAATTTTTTAGCTGCTCAGCTTTGGCCCCTGTTGGAAAAGAAGATTTCTGCATTACCTATTCTGCTTCCTTATTGGCGTGATGTAGACCCTCTGAATCCTGAAGTTAGCCTTTGTAGGAAATTCTAAGCAGTCACATATTGACCAGGTCTGTTGACAGACAAGAGAAAATGTGCATCCAGCAAAATACTATTTTTCTTAGAGAAAAGATATTCTGTCTCAAATGTTATGTTTTATGGAAAAATAAAGTTACATTTATACCTTTCCCTGGTGTTTTGTGAATAGGTTAATACCATTTTTTCAATTACACTGTATTAAGCTGTTCCCTATAAAACTCTGTTGGATAGTTGATTTCAACTGTAAATTTCCAACCTTTATCAACTCAATCCAATTCTGGGCTCAACATTGTAACGGCTAACAAAGATTTTAGAAACTTTCAATATTAGAGCATGCAAAACATGCACAAGGACCGTCAAAAACCTCACTCAGCTTTGAAAAGACAACATTGAATTGTGTTCTTTTGGTCCTGAGAGTCTAAACATTTCAGATCATAGAGCATCAGCATCTACTGCCTGGCAAAGTTTTCCACAAGCTGTCACTTCTTGAGGTTGTGAAGTAGCATTCATCATGGCTAAAAGTATCAATACTAAACAGTCCTACTCCTACTGTTGAAGAATTTTAAATCCTAACTTGCAGCACAAGTTAAACAGCAAAAATAATATATCCGCAAGGGGAGCTTAAGGATTTGTCTCATAGCAAAGATACACATGAAGCCATTTGAACATAAAAAAGTACTTTACCTGGTCACTGCTTTAGACCCCTGGTGTAACTGAAGGGATTTAGGTCAGAAATTAAACTTCCTACACTGTACACATCTTGTTATAGCTTGTGCATTCTATCATAACACCCTAGTGTTAGTTAATCAAATTGCCTACCTGAACTGCTACTCAGCAATAAAAAGATGGTCATTACTTAAGGGAGCAGTGCTCAAACTTTTCCGAGGCCCACTTGTGCAGCTGCAATCATACTATTTCTCCTTTGGCCCAGCTGCTACTATCTCCCTGGGCTCTCCCCTCCCTCAATTGCTCAAGGACCTTGCAGCCCTCCCATTCCCATTTGCCTTGAGCACCCATTCAGGGTTTTACTCCCCTCGCCCATCCCACTCTGTTTAATCACTGTGGCTGGAGAGCAGCATCTGGTGTCTAGGCACCCAGATATGAAAGTAGTATCACTGCCAGCAGCCACACAAAAACAAGAGTGGTACACTATGTACTTACATGCTTCCCTTACTTCTGTGCTATACAGGGTTGCTTTTAGCAGGGGGCCTGGAACCAGCAGCTGCCACTCACTGACATTCTCCAGTCCAGGGGCATCCCATAGGCTATGCACCCCCTCTGGGAAAGGGAGGGAACTTGCAGGCTGGCAACATTGCCACCATTGGACAGGGACTCCAGTTCCAGGCTCACCCCACTCACTGCAACCCTCTCTGATAGCCGCAGCAGCAGAGGGTGGGAATGGCCATAAACACTCCACTGCCTGGCAGCTCCATTTTACCCTCTGCCAGCTACCAGTAGTGTTGGGCTTTTCTAGCCCTGGGCAGAAGCCACTGCTGCCTGCCACCATAGACAGTTTGGCTAGTCCTCCCCTTACAATCATTCTGCCCATGGCAGACCACCCAGGACTGTGTTGCAACCCATTTTTGGGCCACAGCCCTGGAAATTCTGGATTAAGGTGATTCCACATCCCTAATGAAGGGATTCCAAAACCACCAGTAATTGAGTGAATGATCAAATCCTCCTCCAGAAGTAGTCCAGCCTGCCCTTGTCAGCATGGAATTCCAACTGGGCACCATCACGTAGGGCAGAGAGAAAAGAGCATCAAGAGATACTCTTGAAAGTGCATTGTGGATTTACAGAAACAGGGCCAAGCTGTTATGTATTTTAAGTGTTATTTAAAGATGCCTAAAATTCAAGCAATAACTGCAAAATCATAACAAAACAGATCCATCCCATTATATACTCAGATCAGATGTCTCAATTGTTGGGCTGTAAGGGACTTGTTGTCAAGGCAACTGATTACTATCTGGAAGACATGCACAGCCTAACACAGCCCTGAGTTTATCATCATTACAATTTTTTAAGTACAGTTTCCACAGCATAAGAATTTCATCCCGCTGCTGTAATTTACAAGCATAAATGAATTAGGTCACAGAAGTTATGGAGCTTTTTACACAAGAGAAGGTAGTAAGAAATACACTACAAAAATAAGAACCATCTACTGGTTTTGTGCTAAAGGAATGGAGCTATGTGCATCATGTTTGGAGCATGACATTTTGAGGCTTACCAATTATTCTGACCAAGAAACAGTGTTTTAAGTAGAAATCCTATTTGTGAGAACTGGCAAGTCTTAGTTTCAATGAAACAATCATCCTATAAAAAACTTTTATTATTACATTATAATGGAAGTTAAATTTAACTCCACAAACAAATTTCATGGCTACATATCAAATCCAAAAACCAGAGTAACTAAAATAATGATTAACTAGATATGAATACCGTAAGGCACAAGTTCAAGTATTAGTGTAACAAGTATCCTTGGAAACACACAATTCTTGTGTCACAGGTTTGGTTAACTGCAATCAAATTTTAAAAATATAATTTTCCATAGCTAAGCTCTCCTGGCTGATAAACACAGTCTAGTGGACATTTAAAACAGCTGCAGAACCGCTTTAAACGAAGTTTACATAAATCAAAGTTACATTATGGAGTAAGATAGATGAAGAGTTAAGATCTTTCTGAAGGACCCAAGCAGTAAATAGTTGCCCTATGTTTCTGCTATGGCAGTCCATCTTTTAATACAGACAAAAATAACTTTCATGTAGTTCATAGAAAACAGATTATACTATTCACATCTCTGCCTTTGGAAATAAAGCTTATCAACTTAAAGGGGCACCACTCCATTAAGTTATGGGCTTTTTATATTACATTATTATAATACCCTCTTGGAAACTGTTTTACTTATTAATTTTGTCCTTTCAGATTTGGCAAACCTTAATTTTTAACAGCGTTTAGAAATGAACTGAACTTAATCACTGTTACTCATCAATATCTGTGCCACGCAGAATAGTATTTTCAACAAACTGCTACTACAGCAAGTGCTCATAACAATTTTAATGCGGGTCTTATGAGTGGCTTTTCTTTTAAGATGTCTTGGCAACAGTATTATATCTATAAAAAAAAAACTCAGAGAAACCACTTCACACTGAAATAACCACTGTGAAGATCAAACCCTAAACTAATTAGGTCAAAACCTAAATTGGCTGTCCTTTCAACATAAGCAGTTGTGCTTTTCTTCCAACTCCCCCAGACAGAGGTCTACAATTAATTAAATTTTAAGAAATGCGAAGAAATTACAAAAATGGGAAGACTTACAAAAGCTATTTTTCCACAGTGTGGGTTATAAAATGTAAAAAAAAAAAGTTGTATGATTGATTAAATTCAGATCTCAGAGTCCAGGAACACTTTCAATATATTATACTGTGTGGCTTCCACTGATTGTAAAGGAAGTTTGAGAACTAAAATCCAGTGCAACTCTGAACACCTCTCACTTCATTGTATTTATCAGACGCTGTTTAAAACACACTTTGTACCTATCTCACTGCTCTGATCTGTTTGAAAACAAATTTTATATTGTTTGGGGTACCTAAATTGCTACATGATCTAATCTACACAGAACACTCATTAGTTTGTTTTTTAAAAAACAACCAAAAACATTTTGTCTATTTGTGTTGTTTCAACTACAAAAAAAGTTGAATTATAAAAATGCTAATATACACAACCTAATATCCAGCAGGACATTTCACATTACACCACAGGTTGAATGAAACAGTAAAGGTTAAGAAACTAGAAAACCAAATCCAAAAACTTCAAAATAAGCTAGTTTTAGCCTGGATATTTTTTTCTTTGATTTAAAAAGATGTAATTGTCTAATAAACTACGGAAGATCATACACATGACCAGCATCTGCAGTAGGTCACTTCCTTATTTACTCAGTCTCCCATTCCCTCTCAAAATATATTTCTATCTATCTCTATCTGTATTTATATAAACAAAATGATTTTAGTCAAACTGATGAATATCTGTTTTGCACAGTCATGAGGTTAGAAGGCAGCAAGATGCTAACATTCTGTTTCTTTGCTGTCCACTCGATTTTGGCGCTGTAGTTTAAAAGATGATGCTTTCTCACTCCTAGTGACAGGGTGGCCTGTAAGATCCTCAAAAGATTTAGCAGCTGAACTGCTATTTGGGAAAGGGTCCTTCTCAAAGCCATCTTCATCAATATGAGAATCAGTACTTGGGTCCTCCTGAATAGTATCCATTCTTTGGTGGTCCAGTTTTGGTGCTGCAGTTACTACGGGCATTGCTGTGATGGGCTGCAGTGGCTGGTGTCGGTTTGTTGACTGCGTAGTAGGAAAAGGCTTGACAATTCGAACAGACGCTGAGTCCATACTACTGAGCATCTCAACATTCTGCAAGACATAAGTAGTTCAGTCAGGTGGGGATAGGAGGAGACTTTTCTAATTTGGAATTTAACTTTTGTTTACTGTCCCTTTTGCAAGGAATGTAGGCAAAAAACACATTCCTTTTGCAGTCCTGGATACTTGGGGAGGAGAATGTTACAGTAATTCATAAAGAAAAGGTGTAACCTGATGACTCTGGGCAGCCTTCACGAAAAGGGACACAAAGTTCAAAGCAAAACACTTTGGTTTCACCTTACATTTGCGAAGTCTAAACCCAAATAGTTGGCCTCTCTCCTTGAGCTGATCGTTCTTACGTGTTACACGTTATTATATGCTTGAACTTACTTTTAGAAGACTGGCTAAGTTAAAAATGTAACATCCTTTCAGGTAGGCTGTCATGTGGTTTACTCAGGTTCTAGTCTCACAGAAGTGATGTCAAATGTCCTCAGCTAATAAAATGTGCCACCTTTTGTTACCCAAGTTTGCAATCTAAAGGGTTATTCTTTGTATCTTAGCTGCTCTGGTATCTGCAGGGGCAGCCCTAGTTGTAGTACCCCCGATTGTGAAGGGCAGAGGAACCACTGTGATTACCTAGATTGACCGCCTGAATAAAGCAGGCCACACACCTCCCTGAATTTATTCCAGCTCTTGGACCTCAAGCAGTAGCTGGAACAGCAGAACATTGTTTAGAAAAATAAGCAATCTTGATTTAAAGATTTCCAGTTACGAAAGGGGCAGGCAAGATA